ATAAAAAAACACCAAGATAGAAAAATCATCAACAACAACGAAGAAAACATAGAACCGATACCAAAAACCCCAACAAACACGTCTTCAAACAACACTGCCAAAGAAATATAATTAACAAAAACTCCATAAAAACAACAACAACAAAAGCATAGAAATAAAAACAACAACACCATAGAAATAAAATCTCTCATTGCTTTTGTAGTGACTATAACATCCAGTATTACTTTTACCTCTAATACTACGGACACATAAAGATCTGCATCTAATACCACCCATGCAGTTACTTCTACTACTACTACTACTACTACTACTACTACTAATACTACTACTATTAATACTACTACTATTAATACTACTACTACTACTACTGCTGCTTCTATTACTATTACTACTACTACTACTGCTTCTATTACTATTACTACTACTACTACTTTTACTACTACTGCTACTACTGCTACTACTACTACAACAACTACTTCTACTGATGTTACTATTAGCAAAGATAGAAGTAAAATTATGAAAAATCAAGATATCAACGTGCAAACATCAATGAAAACAGAAACAAAAACAAAGAACTGAAATAACCAAAGAAACAAAATAGCCAAAGAAAAGAAAATAGCCGAAGAAAAAAATATTATAAATCGAACTTTCAGTAAATTAAAAGGATGTTTATGCAGATGAGCTTTTGATGGCGATAATGATGATAAAAATAATGATGATGATGATGACGTTGTTGTTGTTGATGATAATGATGACGAAGTTGTTGTTGTTGTTGCTGTTGATGATGATGATGATGATAACGATGATGTTGCAGTTGATCATGGTTGCGCAACAGACAAAATGATAAAATTGACGAACGGATGAATTTTTTGACGTTAACAAAAATAATTTCGTAAAATGAAAAAGCATTGTTGCAACAAAAAACATCAGCAACAACATCATCAACAACAACACCAACAACAACATCAACAACATCAACACCAACAACAACATCAACAACAACATCAACATCAATAACACCATTACCAATAAAAACAGCACCAATAAAAACAACAACAACAAATACCAAAACATAGACAACAACAACAACAGCAACATAGACAACAAAAAAAACAACAACAACATAGACATCAAAAAGAACAACAACATAAACATCGAAACCACACCCTCAGTCCTACCTTAGATGATTCTCTGAGCAGGAATTGAAAGTGAAAAACTGAAAAAAACCACAATTGAATGGAGAGAAAAGAAGAAAAAATATTTAGGTATAAAAAGTGAAAGAATGAAGAGAGAGAGAGAGAGAGAGGGACAGAGAGAGAAAGAGAGAAAGAGAGAGAGAGAGACGGAAATGAATGAAGAGAAGAATGAATAAAAATCATATAGGGAAGAATGAAATGAATAAATGAATGAACGAACAAACAAAAGAATAAATGAATGATTCAATGAACAAAAGAATGAGTGAACAACTGAATGAATGAACAAATGAAAACTGTTCAATTTAAAAACTAAACAAACAAATGAAACGTGCCGTCTAGATGAGTGAATGAAAAAATCAGACAGGAAGAAGAGTAAAAAAAATGAATGAACCTATAAAAAATGAATAAAGTATGATGGAAAGAAAGATAAAATGAAAGGAGGAAGGATTGGAAAAACGACAGCGTCAGACAAACCGCAGAACGCTTGCGAGAGTAAACTAGAAACTGCAAGATTTGTTTATTGCATATGCCTCAACACACACACACACACAAACTACACACACACAAACTACACACACACACGCATGCACACACGCACACACACTCAAACACACATTCACACGTGCACACGTCAAATAGATAACAAATGAATGTTATTAAGTTATATAAGTGATAAAAATAACTCATGTGATTTTTTCGTATTTAAAGTGTGTGTAATTTGGTTTAGAAACATGTATTTGCTCTTTTTTTTCTCTCTCTCTCTTTTTTTTTCTCTCTCTTTTTCTGTTTCTCTCTCTCTTTCTCACTCTGTCTCATTCTCTCTCTCTCTCTCTCTCTTTCTCTCTCTCTTTTTCACTCTGTCTCTCTCTTTCTCTTACTTTCACCATTTTTTGAATTTCAAACAAATCTGTCGCCAACGTGTCTATATTCCATTTGTACGTTTTCAAGTCATCTCAATTTTATATGGTATCCTATCCTATAACTGAGGGTGTCATTTTGCATTTTTGAATTGTATCTTTTGTATTTTCTTTGTATCTTTTGTATTTTTTTTGTATTTTTTGTATTATTTTATGCAAACAAACAAATAAACACACAGGACACAAACAACGACAAACAAACAGGCTAATAAAATACATACAATTATGAAACAACAGTTATACAAACAAACAAACAAACAAACATACAAATAAAAAATACAGTTATATAAAAATATCAATGCAAAATGCAAAAAAATACAATTATGCCTACTAGTGCAACCACTCATCCCATAAAAATAAATTATTAACTATGCAAAAGTAAGTTTTTGCTATTAAATTCGGTGCAAATTTGAATGTATTTTTGTATGTTTTTGTATGTTTGTATGTATGTATGTATGTTTGTATGTATGTATGTATATGTGTATGTATGTGTATGTATGTATGTATGTATGTATTTGCATATATAGCTCTTGTTATTCTTCCAAATGAAAAATTATGCAAAATGGAAAGGAATTTTTTGTTGGTTTAATTAAAATGGTGTTTTGCCCAATATCAATAGGTTTTTCGCATCGTTTTGTTTTTGTTTATTTGTTGTTGATGTTGATGTTGTTGATGTTGTTGT